AGCAAACATATAAATATTGCATAAGTAGGAAAATACATAAATACTAAGATGTCATTGTCTTTTATACTTTAATTTTAAAAAGTTCAGATTAATTGTTAAGCCCCATTAACACTGGTTCTATATACATATATATACATAGTTCTTGGCACGTTCTTGGAGAAAATCATTTATGCCCGTATGCACCGACAGACTTTAATCGCGATTAGGCCTTAAACCGGTTTAAAAATCGTAAACGGTATGCATCGTCGACTGCTTTGACCTTAAACTCGTTTAACTTTAATCCGCCAACCTCCGAGGATTAAGTTCTTAAACTAGTTTAAATACATAACATAACCTTTGAAATTGAGGGTTTTGTTATAGATAAAGACGAGGTTTTGTTTTCGTCCTAGCAAATTCTAGTCGGTTCGTGTGCTAACTACTTGGAAAATGGATTTGGAAGAAGAAATGATATTGGACGATGATATTGATGTTTCAGAAATAATTGATTATGGTTTTCCAATGAGTCAATTACTCCGCACAAATTATTTCGATGCACTTGACGAAATGTCTTTTTATAGACGCTTTCGTTGAACAAAGCCGGTCGTTTTTAGATTGCAAGAAGAAATTGGCCACCTTCTAGAATATCCCAGTATCTAAGACTTCTATACTGCTTTAAATGCAAGATTCTGGACATCGCTTTTATATAGTAAAATCGCCAGTAATTTTGTGATACCTTATTGGTTGATTTTCTCAACAGTTAATAACGGTTTTTACCGTTAATATGTCCACCTAGAAGAAAAATCGTTATCTCATATAATTTTTGGCAACTAGCCGCAATGGATGGCGGTCATATTCTTTCCCTTTAACAGATATTTAACACGAACGGCGGCACATTCATTGGAACACCGGGCGAAAGTTGATAACGCGAGTCACTAGAACACGGTTGCAATATCCGTACAAGGTTTAGCTAATCCGCCGCTGAATTTCAACGGTGCATACCAGCTGGGTTCTTAAACCGGATTAACTTTTAAACGCGTTTAGTTGATGGCGATTGGGTAGCTTGGAGGTGCATACGGCGGCTACAGTATCAATCCGTGTTGCAGATATAAATTTACATAGAAATAAAAAAATATACATGGTAACGCTTCAAGCAGTAGTTTTAACGTGATTAATGAAGGTGATCGGTTCATTATCAATAATTCTGGTGAACAGGAAAATCACGTTGGTGATAAGAAAAAATAGACTCGCTTTAATGTTGTGAAATCAGCTACTTAATTACTGCAACATTTGTTGGCATGTTTTTGAATGCACATCTTTAGATTACCAAATCAAAA